TGGACATTAATTAACGGAGCTTACCACTTGTGAATCATAATGGCTACATGGGCTCTAAAGGTTCTATTAAATTTGAATTTCTTTGCAAAGCGACAAGGTTGGGACACAGCAAAGTGAAATGCCCATTTTTGGTGCAAGAGATTTTGCCGCCAAGATAGTACAAGTTCCCCGGACCATCCTCTACAATAAAGAAGACGTGAGAGGGGTTGGTTGGTTGGAGCTGACCGCAACCCCACAAGCCCTAGGGTTACCGTATTTCCTAAGCCACTTTTCTGTCATACCCCTACGGTACTTGTACTTTTCCTGCCATCGCAGACTCTTCCAGAAAAGAACAATATAACTTCAAGCTTCTTAAGGTTCCTACCCGTACCTCATTAATATAAATCCTCGGTTTGGTTTGTCTCCATCTCACCCCTCCTCCAGTAGTCTACTCGAGGACTCGTGGGGCGACACTTTGCTTTGCCGCTTGTCCCGCCCCGGACCCCATCCCATATGCTTAATATGGTTAGGCTTATGCGACGAAGGCTTAAGGTCGTCATGAATGGCTTGGGGTTGGGGGATGCCCGCTCTAGCTATGCAACACCGGGTCGGATGGAGGGAGTGGTGGGGAGAAATCGCGGCTCGAAGCGGGCATTGAATGTCAATGAACAGTGTTATGCCGCTGCGGTGGAACAGGGTCGCCGAATTTCAATCCCGACAATGCTCCTTCAATAGGAATATTACTCACATGTTGTTAAGGGTGCGTCTGGCCGTCCAAAACTTTTCCAACCTTGATAACCACAACTTGCGGTTGAACATTTGATTTTGTGTTTTGTTTGTTGGATATGTTGGGTTGAGGGGCTAGTTTATGGGTGGTTGTACTGTACTTAGCTAGCGGATGCCGGGTAGATTTAGCAAGGATAAATTTAGGGTATTAACAAAAGGTGAGTTACAGGTGGGACAAGCACCGCTCATGCTTGCTGCTGTGTGTGGGTATGGTGGAATGGTGCAAATGTTCCTAGAGTGGGGCCATGTCAACTGAGCAAGGCTCAGTTGGGCAGCCTTGAATGGGAAGGGAGATTGGTAAAAATACTACTCAAACGGGACGACCTCAACCCCAACACACACCAGATAGCAACGGCAGAACAGCACTCAGTTGGGCTGCTGAGCCTGGGCACCAAGGAGTTGTGCAAATGCTACTCAAACGTGACCACCTGAACCCCGACAAAACCGGATAACAGTGGCCGAACACCACTTGCGATTTCTGCCGAGTGGGTACGGGTGACTGGTAAACACATATTACTTGTACGATACGGAAAGACGCCAACCCAGATAGACCAGATAACAACGGCCGAACACTACTTTTGCTTGCTTCTGAGTATGGGAACGAAGAAGTAGTGGAAATGTTGCGCAAACACGACATTGACCCCAACCATCCTGATAGCGAAGGCCGAACACCACTCTCGTATGCCCAACCAATATGCCATTTCGCTAACCACCCCAACAGCTCTACAAACATGCATATCGCCATCATTGCTTCCCTCTTCTCATCCTCGCCGAGCCTCTTCTCACGGTCTAAAACGCTGCAGAGACTCAGCTAAAATATCTCCTTTCGCTTTGATCAAAGACCTCATACGGCGGTGCTGCAAATATCGATTATATACCGATCAGAGCCTCTCTACATGCTTTCCAATATGGTTGGATGGAGGTTTATTAGTTTCTCTTTATATTCGAGAGCTTGGTGTTTGTGAGCTGTTATTTCCGGGCAAGCAAGATCCGTCAAGTGTGGTTTGGAAATTCCATCATAACTTGTTTCCCCTAGCACTGGCTGTCTGGTCGTAAATCCACGATGGAAATCAATAGTTTCTTTATTTTTTCTGTATGATTCATGATTTCCCTCCACGGAGGGGCGCCGGGGTGGGTGCTGCCAAAATGCAAATTCGGGAAACAAAACTAGTACATGCGAAGACTTCTGGACCTCGTGAAAGGTGACACAAAAGCAGGCGGTTTAACTAAGATATCGTGGTGATTGGTTTCCACTATGTATACCGCCCAATGAAGACGACGTTCGCGCTCCACCTCCCTCTTGGTGTGGGCTAGGAGGTGAAGTTGGGAGTTGGGAGGCCAAGGTATTACAATCCCGGGGAATCGTACTTTTCACTATGAAACTGGTCACCTGGCCAGGGGACATTTACTGTTGGATTCTTCGCCCCAGTCACCTCAGTTATCTTTCAAACACTTGGGAGTCTCCTTGCTTGTTTCATTATTGTGAAGTTAGGAGATCAGGATATCTCTAAGCTATGGTTTCATTCACTCATTCGAAACTATCTGCCCCTTACTGGAAAAAATATTTCTCCCCCTTTCTTGGGAGAAGGTTTTCACCCGCACGGACTTGATACTGGAGGAAACAGATCCTATTAAGAAGGACCTGATTATGTAGTTAGAAATATATGCGAACCTGAACAATCAATCTCCTGCCTTTGTGAACAACCCGAAATTTGAATCTCACTCTATCTATCAAATTACAAAATTTCCTCCTCTCCTATCAGTCTGTTTTTCTCACATTTACACCCCCCATGTCCGGCTGAATTGAAGCCCATAGCTACTGGAGCCAACCACTGTGGTAAACACCGGTCGCATAAAAAAAAGAATCTACACCAGAGACGAAGGGGGAGAGGTCCGCGCAAACTAATTGCACACTTACAGTATCTATGATCCAAAAAGCATCGCCGCATCCGGGTGACCCTTACGCTACGCTGTCCTTTGCTACCAACACCGCTAGACAAGGAGCATTCCGCCACTCGACAAAGAGCTTGTTAAAGGTTCTAGATCGATGTTGATTGATTGAGATAGATGGTGGAGGTTTCGGGAGTCTGGCGGAGAGTTCAGAGGTTTAGTGGATTGGTGTGGAGGTTCAGAGATTGACAGGGGATTCTCCGGACATGTCTTTCCTTTGTTATCACGGGAGTGCATGGAGGAAAGGGTAGCATGCTTGGAGAGATACGGATAGGTGTGGTGATTCATGGAACGGTGAGCATACATTGTTTATGTTTTACTTATACACATGTATTTACCTTTAGATTAGAATGATAGACGAACGAAGGTGTTTTTCCTTACCTAACGCTCTTGTTCACATCCTATGATTGTTCCCACATAGTCATTTAGTTTTTCTCTCTATCCCTGCCCCAGTCAATCATTGACTGCTATATACCCACCCGTAAGAACGCTCAACTCTGGCGGCTTCAGGGGGGGGGTGGGTGCCTCCTATGAGCCGCTCCTTATTGACATGGATTGATCTGAGATTCCACATTACCGAATTAGTACTTTCTTGTTACTGCTTTTGTATGATCTACTTACTATATGCTGTATTTAGCATTCGCTGACCGCCAGAAACAGGTAAGGGCCAGGAAGCACCGCCGCGGAACGAATAAACCCTCAATCGCGAAGCATGCAAAGAATCACCCGCTGATGATACGATATTTGGCATAGCGGACGATCCGTCATAGGGAACGCAAGCGCTTAGTAGAATTCAGTGTTGATGCATGTTCTGGGGGCTCGGGGGACTGTTGAAGCGGTGAGTCTGAGCATCGGCACATCCCTTACACCACAGAAAAGTGTCTGTAGGGTGCAGAGAGTTGGGAATTGACAAGAGAGTAAGGTAAGAAAAAACAACTTCGTTCGTCTCTTCTCTAAACTAACGGTAAAGACAGGTGTATAAGTAAAACATAAACAATGTATCCTCACCATTCGATGAATAACCTCACCTATCCGTATCTCTCCAAGCATGCTACCCTTTCCTCCATAGACTCCCGTGATAACAAAGAAAAGGCATGTCCGGAGAATCTCCTGTCAATCTCTGAACCTCCATACCAATCCATTAAACCTCTGAACTCTCCGCCAGACTCCCGAAACCTCCACAATCTATCTCAATTAACCAACATCGATCTAGAACCTTCGACGGTTGTGAACCGGGTCAGTCGGAAATCACTGGGGTATGTCCCCGTCTTCTCCTGTAAACAGTCATCTGTTTTGCGGTTCTTGTATCTTTAATTCCGAGTATTGTATTTTCCTCGCACCCCCTGACTACCTCGCGGGTTTTCCTATCTAACGAGCTATAAAACACTCACGGATATGACCGGAGGCGGTCTTCCGACATGCGGCTGGCGTAAACTTGCTCTTGGAAATTCGTCATTCGGGTCATGGGGGCCCACGAACCTTGTGATGGCGAATTGTTACAGCGCAGCGGAACGATTGATCGACAATGATGGGACTCGTGTGAGTTCACCACAGAAGGAAGGATGGTTGAAGTGGAGAGTATGTTTTCTTGATGTTAGGTACAGAGAGAAAAACTCAAGAGAAAGGAAGGAATGAAGCTTCATTAAATACAGTTTGTGGTGGCTGACATCCCACATGTGCACACCACCCAATGTGTCTCCTTGAGTGCATCAGACCTCACTGTGCCCCAATCCAATCCCAATACTATTCCACGATGGGATTACTCCATCACCTTGGGAGCACTAGAGGAGTTACCGAGGTCGGGCTTGAAAGATTCGGGATAGTGTTTATGCGCTCTATCTTACTCGAGTATTTCTCATGCGGATTAGATACCTCACGGATAGATGGGGGGCTAGAGAATTGTGGTTTCGGAGACGATGAGAGCGAGGTGAAAGGGAGTCGTATTCACGATATCGCTGACTAGCACTAGCTATTTGCTTAAGGTACTAATTACCACGGTAGTTATCCCGGAAAGTGAGCTATACGAAGAGAATCCAACTAGCTATTGCTGAAAGGCAACCCCCCTGCGGGGAGGCGAAATAAAGAAAAGTTAGATCATCTGCCTAACTATCGGGCAATGCTATCAAACTAATCGTGGCTCGACGGGAAATTACAGAATCAACAAAACGAGATATAAAAGGTGGTGGGAGAGGTAAGAGAAGAGACCGGAAAAATACAGAATAATAGTAGCAATCCGAAACAACCGGAGCAGACATCCCCAGAGCAGCGAGCCAATTGATCGGGATCTACCTCCTCGCGCCCTGAGGAACCCCCGCATCACTATCCGGCCCAACCATCAATTGTTCCATAACCTTCGCCATAATGGAATCCCTAACACCCTTCACCAGAGTATCATCATCAGGGGGCGGGGCTTCCACCGGCGGGTGGTCCACCTCCGCCCACTGCTTCGCTTTTCTCGGCTCCCGTGCTCTCTGGAGCGCGGACCGGGGAATAGGGCTGCGATTCCGACTGGCCTTCCAGGTGGTGGTTGGGGGTGACTTTGGCCTAACTCGTCGGGGGCGGTTCCTGCCCAGGTAATCACTACTACTACTCGATACAGGCGACTCGGGGGAGACTTCTGGTCGCACCACGGCGTCGTCATGCGCGCTGCCGGTGAGAGTAGGCACCCGGCGCCATCGCTGGCTTGTCTTGCGCATTTTGGGCTGGGGACTCTGGATGGGAGTGGGAACATCTTGAGTGGGGGTTGGAACTTTCCGAGCTAAAGCGGGAACTTTCTGAGCTGGAGAAGTACCTTTCTTAGTGGGACTAGGACCTTTCTTAGTGGGACCAGGACCTTTCGGAGTGGGACCAGGACCAGGAGCCGCCTGAGCAACCGCCCCATCCACCTTATCCTCGTCAATAAGCTGGTTGTGCCTGGCGATGAAGTGGCTCTCTGTGACTCTCGCGAACAGTGGATCCTCCCACTCCGCTAGTGGCCTAGAGTACTCCTCAGGCAGCCTCCCCCACTCCCCGTTCGGCCCCAAGCCCGCCCCACGTTGGTGGTGAATGAACTCCTTCATGAGGGCGTACACGGGTTGGTAGTACCAATCCCTCTCGATACGGTATGGGCGCCCGCCCTTCCCCCCCGGCACCTTCTTGGTGATGCCTTCAACCCCGGGGATCGTGGGGAACACCCATTCTACCTCGGCATCGACATCCGAGTCGCAGTGCATTTCCGCAGCATCCACGATGCTCTCGTCGTCGTCGGAACTGATGTCTTCGGGGTAATTATCGCCGCAAAAGTCCTCCTCATCGAGCGGCCCCCCGTTATTGTCGATTAATTCCCAGTCTGGGAACGGTTTCCGCTCGGCGCCCCTCCGGGTGGAATGTGCTAGGTTCGCTTCAATGGGGTCTGCCTCCAACCGGTAGGGCAGAACGTGAAAGTTTTCGCCGTTCGGGCCTGCATGTTCCCTCCACACTCTGGGATCGAAGTCCGTTGAGTTGACCAAGTCGCTGACGCAGATGGATAGAGGTTCGTATGTGCCAGCCTCCCAATCTATGAGTGCGGCCACTCTGCTACCGCGCACCATAGCGTTAAAGCCATTTTGGAGGTCGTTGTGGCTCAGGGAAAAAAACTCCGGGCGGGTTGGGCGGGGCACCTGGTCGATGTTCCTGATTGTCGTTTCTAGGTACTCTATTATATCGTTGAATGTGTGGAAGTGCGAGCGGACGGGGACCATTAGACCCTCTCGTCTCATCCATCTGAATACCAGTCGGTCTCGGCGAAGGGAGGCTAGTATCATTTCGTGGCGGTTTGGGAATGGACCGCGGTTGATCCGGCCCCAGAATTTGTGCTGTACCGAGGATCAGCGGCCAGCCAACAAATTTGTGCTATCATAATATGTAAACGGTAAAAGCAATGAAAAGTGCGGGGGGAGGAGAAACCCTGTCCATATCCCACCACACAAATGCGCAATAAGGCCCAACCCTCCCTCCATGGGTGGAGTGCCGAGGAACCCCGAGCTCATTCTCCACCTGGGTCAGAATAGCAAGTCTCACAACAGCCATGTGCCTCACAAACTTGATCATTCTCTCCTTCGCCCACCGCGTCTGGGGGCTATCGCGGACACCCCTCGCGCGGATACGCTCCATAGCAATAAGATTTCGCTCCGGCCGAAGGTTGTAAACTCTCGGGGACCGCGAAATGTTATTATTGCGCTGGAAGGCCTCACCTGCGTGGTGCAGACTGGCGGCTTCCAGTTCCACCTGCTCCCTGTGGGCTTGCTCATAGTTTGTGGTCTTGAAATATTTAGCGATAAAACTGGTGTCGTAGTAGGGAGGGTGCGGGACCCGCATCAAGGCCACCACTGCCCGATCGGTGTCAGCTAGCCTGATGCCGCCAGACAAAGCGAAACGCTCGGCTGAGTGGCTGTGGATGTGACCCTCGATGTAGCGGTCTACGAGTTCGGTAAAAGCTGCTGTCTCCAGGAGCCGGCCTGAGCGGGGTTTCGTGCTGAGGTCAGCCATTTTGGCAGGAGTTTTGTTGAACTGTATTTTTCTTCTTTCCTTCCTCTAGGGCCAAGAAGAAGTAGAAAAAAGGGCGGGTAGACATATATATATCTCACCCATATCAAAGAGCATATCGACCTCTAACATCCCATAATTCCTTTGTCTCTCGACACTACTACACCCCAACTCCCAGAGAACCCTACGAACATGCCAGACAAAGAGGTTGAGTGATTAAGCTTTCCAGAATTTTAAGGTCGCTGGATCCGTGTATATTGGACCCAAGGGGACTGGACATCAACCACTTTTTATAGCTTGCGTTGTAAATGTTTCCGCGGCGGCAACTATAAGAGTATTCATTCAAGCTCGGGCAAATTGAAAAATAATCGCTTGAATGTGTTCGGCCGTAATTACGCAGTTATACCTGCATATATTATAGGGTCATTTAAAAAACCCACCTCATGTACCGATAACATTAAAGACTTCTTGCGGAGCGGCAGGTGCTGATGCCGTCGGTAAGGTCGTTCGGAATTCGTAATGTCTAGCATTCCCATACAGGGACCGGGAGAGACGCCCCAACTGCGAGAGATGGGGTAGTGAGCCTCAAATAACGCTTCAACAACCCTCATGGGATCTGGCTATCCCCGGGTCTTATGGACGGAAGCTCATGGGAAGGATTACCACCTTTCGGACGGGGTATAGCCTGAGCCCTCCGGACATATTAGATTTTGTTAGCTGGCGTTTAAATCCTGTTAGCTGCCATTGCGTTACCAGTTTTCCTTGATCCCCGCTCAAAATCTGATGGCTAGAAGTTATGGTGGTTTTTCCAAGTGATGTTACGGTGTGACGAGTTGTGCGGGGTTTGCCTCGCTATTCTTATGAGTGGGTTTAGCAGTCAATGGTTGACTCGCGCAGCGATAGAGAAAAACTAAAGGACTATGTGGGCCACTGTCGCAGGACGTGGACAAGAGCGTAAGGTAAGGAAAAACAACTTCGTTCATCTCTTCTCTAAGCGAACGGTAGAGACAGGTGTATAAGTAAAATATAAACAATGTATCCTGACCATTCCATGAATCACCACACCTATCCGTATCTCTCCAAGCATGCTACCCTTTCCCTCATACACTCCCGGGATAACAAAGGAAAGACATGACTGGAGAATCTCCAGTCAATCTCTGAACCTCCACACCAATCTATTGAACCTCTGAACTCTCCGCTAGAATCTCGAAACCTCTACCATCTATCTCAGTCAACCAACATCGATCTAGAACCTTCAACAGCTATCATGCCAGGCGGTTGTCATCCCAAATAGTAACTTACAGTGCAACCTCACCTCACTCAGCCCCTTGTTCTCTACAAAATTCCAATAGCCTCCTACCCAACCCTCTATAAGGGTTTTACCATAGTAGACTCGGGAGATTCCCGATATTGAGGTACATTACAATACTAACTTACCCGAGTACAGCCGCATTGGAAAAGTTCTCGCATCTCCTATCCTTGGAAATGCTTTGGTAGCCCCCCCTCTCATTATTCGGCAAAAGAATTGCGGTCAAATTTTTCGGTATGCCTAGAGTTATACCGTAAAAACTCTTGCAATTCGCTCTCTCCGCCAGGACGCTAATCTCCGAACTTGGGTGTAAAATCACTAGGGAGGGAACAATGCTGTCGTGACATGCTGTAAGCCGAGTCCACTTGCGGGAGTGTTAGATCTCATTAACTGGTTGTCGCAATTCCTTGAAATTTTCAGACTAAACTGACAGTGGCTGATGCTCCGTTTATAGAGGGGTACGAAGATAGCCAACAGTCAGCTAAAAAGCTATTCCCGTTGTTGGCTAGCTCAGTTTCTGAGGTGTCATAAATTTGTATATCATACAAGGGAGATATAAGAACATGGAGAATGCGGCTCTACATTCCAACCACTCGGTAGTACGGTAGTATTCTCAGATGAGTCATGCACCCTCCTAAAATCATCGGGTGTTAAGTGTTATACAACAGGGCTCATCTCCCGGCTATCTTCTTTCAGAATTTTGTAAACTGCCCCAATACACGCAAATATTGTTCTACCGTTTTTACGTTCAACCGCACTCTTGACAGACTACTATGGCTCAGACTACATATGTTAAGATCGGCGACGGCAATGCCCACACCGGCAATGTTGGATTCTTGGTCCCCGTCACATGAGTTTTTTCTCTTTTTTTTTATTTCTTCAAACACTTGGTAGTCTCCTTGCTTGTTTCATTATTGCGAAGTTAGGAGATCAGGATATCCTCAAGCTATTTGTTTCATTCATTCCTTTGAAATTCTCTACACCTTAATGGTAAAAAACTCTCTTTCTTTAGCGGGAGAAAATATTTCACTCCATTACTTGGGAATGAAACTTTTCACCCACACAGACTTGATATTGGAGGAAACAGATCCTATTAAGAAGGACCTGGTCATGTAGTTAGAAAAGAGGAGTGAACTGGACAATCAATCTTCTGCTATCACGAATATCCTAAGAACTTGAATCTCACTCTATCTATCACCTTATACAATGCCTCCGCTCTTATCAGTCACTTATTTTCTCAGGTTGTGAGCCCGGATTGATGCTTTCCAAGCCGATATCCTCATATACCAAAAGACCCTAAATATCCTTTTTTTTTTCTCTTCTTTCTTTTCTATTTCTCATTTTCTTTATACTATCTACCTCATATCCTGCTCTAAAAAGTATTGTCGAATCCGGATATCCTAAAGGTTCAATGCCAATCGACAAATCCAACAATGAGTATATGGAGAAGAGATTTCGATGTCCTCTCTTGACTGAAAAGAACTTTCCCACCTGGGAACATAGTGTTAAGATGTGATTGATTGCAGAAAATTGCTGGGACATAGTTATCGGGGAAGAGAAGATCCCAGATCTCCCTGTACTTGCTGACGGATCCTCTAGAGCAATGGAATCAGTACATGCTACATGTAACCAGTACGGGTACTCAGTTATTGGTTTTGTTTTATGTTTTGTTTTAAGTATCGCTTTGATACTTGGCTTAATTTAAGTATAGTTTGATACTTGGTTTTGTTTTATGTTTTGATTTAAGTATTGCTTTGATACTTGATTTGTTTTAAGTATCGGTTGATACTTGGTGTTGTTTTATGTTTTGTTTTAAGTATCGCTTTTGTAACCGGTACGGGTACTTGGTTTGTTTTAAGTATCGTTTGATACTTGGTTTTGTTTTATGTTTTGTTTTAAGTATCGCTTTGATACTTGGTTTGTTTTAAGTATCGTTTGATACTTGGTTTTGTTTTATGTTTTGTTTTAAGTATCGCTTTGATACTTGGTTTGTTTTAAGTATCGTTTGATACTTGGTTTTGTTTTATGCTTTGTTTTAAGTATCGCTTTGATACTTGGTTTGTTTTAAGTATCGTTTGATACTTGGTTTTGTTTTATGTTTTGTTTTAAGTATCGCTTTGATACTTAAAGAGTTTTACCAAAGAGTATAAATTGATACCCTTGATTAGTTTCGTTCATGCTAGACATGAACAGATTTGTGTATTTAAAGACCGCCTGTTTCTACGATAGAAAAGGCAGACTTCGACGGACAGTATTTCAATATACTTGGTTGAACGGTTACTTCTTTGTTCCTCAGTACGCCCTCGAAGCCTCCTTTAGTTCTCAGCTCTCGCCTCCTCTCTGGAAGAGCAGGCCACCTGCCAACTATCGTATCTATTATCGATAACGTGATTAGCACCTTGTGAACACGTTACAGCTTTGATACTTGGTTTGTTTTAAGTATCGTTTGATACTTGGTTTGTTTTATGTTTTGTTTTAAGTATCGCTTTGATACTTAAGGAGTTTTACCAAAGTGTATTGATTGATACCTTTGATTAGTTTCATTCATGCTAGTCATGAACAGATTTGTGTATTTAAAGACCGCCTGTTTCTACGATAGAAAAGGCAGACTTCGACATACAGTATTTCAATATACTTAGTTGAACGGTTACTTCTTTGTTCCTCAGTACACCCTCGAAGCCTCCTTTAGTTCTCAGCTGTCACCTCCTCTCTGGAAGAGCAGGCCACCTGCCAACTATCGTACCTATTACTGATAACATGATCAGCACCTTGCGAACACGTTACATTATTTTAACCCCAGCAAGTGGTTAAGAACCTGTCACTGGATTTATGCCTGATCAACCTATCAATATTGACCTCAGAATGCTACCAGAGAGAAGCGGCAGAATCACGGCACATTTGGCTTCGTCTCAAATCCAAAATAGAGTTTTTAACAACCAGGAGTAGGAAGCAAATCCCACGGCAAGACCTTACAAGAAAGAAACAACATCGACGCTCTGCTATGGAGCCGGGCGAACCAGCAAACGTGGAAGACACACAACCTCCTGGAGAATTCTCTTCTACTTTAGCAAAGAAGCCTTCTTTTAAACCTCCAATCAACTCTGAATCTAGCAGCGAGTCAAACTTGGCTAGCACAGGAGGAGGGCCCTCTGGAGGAGGAAAATCTTGGGCTAGGCCTGAAGAAGAAGAGGTACCCGCAGCATTTGAACCTCCTAAGTTTAAACTCCACCCCCTAGCAAAGATTACATGAGAAGGAAAAGACCTCAAACCTGAAGCCTTTGACTGATGGGCAACGGAACTTACACACTATCGTCTCCTGTAAGAGAAAGAGGTGGAAGACCCTACAACTGGACTATACATTGGATTATTCTGCGAGGGAAAGGCAACTGACGCATACCACCAATGCTATAAGGATTACTGCAGAAATGTGAGATTAAGAGGATCTACAGTCCTCGATTACCTGAAAGGATGATTCCAATCCTCTATTACCAGCGACCTCCTATACAACAAATTCAACCAGCTCCAGCAAGTTAATAGGATGCATGTCAAGAGGATTACAGATGTAGCTACAGATCTATTGATGTATAAGGACTGAATGAAGAACGGAAGCATTTCCAACTACATCCTTAAGTAACGATTCTATGATACTATGCATCCTACTCGCCGACGAGAGGTTGAACCACGCGAGGAAGAC